TTCTGTCAAATCTGGTGGTGCAGGCAGATAGATCTCTATGAGTTGGAGGCCAGCCTGGAAAACAACAGTTCTAGAATAGCCAAGGCTACATAGTGACACCTTGCCTCAAAAACAACTAAAATAAAACCCAACCCAACTCCCCAACCACAACACGAATCTGGTGGCAGGGACCCTCTGCTCATAAAGACTGATCTCTTGGAGAATCAGATGGGATGATATGATTTGAACACCACATAAAGTGACACGCTTTGTTTTGATTTTGAAAATCACTTTTATGTCTGTGCACATGTCAGCCCTGTGTGTGCAGCTGTCTACAGAGCCCAGTAGGCAGTGGTACCCGTGAACTAGAGCTACAAGCAGTTGTGAACTGGTGTGTGTGGGTGCTGGGAACCAAACCTAAGCCATCTGGAAGATCTCTACGTGCAGACTTTTGTTTTCTAGGTGTGGCCCTAGACATCTCCCACGTTGTACTATGGCTCCTCATGGATTTAACTCCTGTGGTAAAGATGGTCTGAACTGATCACCACGCAGTGACAGCATCAATTCTGTACTCTAGAGCTCACACTTTCATGTCTCAACGTCACACCATCTACTCACTAAACCTTGTTTCCCAGCATTCTTCAATTATCAGTTTGTCCTAGATTAGATTCACAGCTTCCATTTGCGCGCACACGCGCACACACACGCGCGCACACGCACACACACACGCGCGCACACGCACACACACACACACACACACCATAATGTATACATCAAAGTAAGTTGTTCAGAAATAGCCTGCAATATTCTCATGTAAAAACTGAAAAACTATTATTTGGGGGTGGGTGTGCGCACACATGTGCACATGCACCTATGCATGCACATACATGCACCTATGCATGCACATGTCAAGCCAGGAGCAGGTGTCAGGTACTGTGGTCTCACCACTCTCTGCTTTATTCTTTTGAGAGAGCTCAATGGGCCTGAGTCTCGCTAGTCACTGTTTTTTGGCTAGGTTGGCTGGTTAGTAAATCCCAGAGATTCTCTTGTCTCCAACCACCTGTACTGTGGCTTCCTAGCTTTTTCCAGGTAGAGGCCAGGGATCCCAACTAGATCCTCATTCTTGTGCTGCAAGCAAGCTCTCTCACCCACCGAGCCATCTTCCCAGACTCTCAAGATCACAGCTTAAGTCCCCTCTTTCTTTCCCTCACTATATGAGGTACTGGGTTTCCAAAGATAAAACATGGGTATTTCCTACTCTCTAGAAGCCAGTGTTTGTGAAGCAGGATTAAGAGCTGTGAGCTACACTCTCATCAAATGGCGTCATAATTGAGGTAGCACAAGTGCTCTGCAAATATGCAGGGCTTCACCCCACAGGCAGACAGGGGTGATCTCCAAAGTATACAAAGAATCAAGAAACTAGTCATCAAAAGATCACATAATCCAATAAAATAAATAAATGGGGTACAGACCTAAACAGAGAATTCTCAACAGAGGAATCTAAAATGGCTGAAAGACACTTAAAGAAATGCTCAACATCCTTATTCATCAGAGAAATGCAAATCAAAACAACTCTGAGATTTCATCTTACACCTGTAAGAATGGCCAAGATCAAAAACACTGATGACAACTTATGCTGGAGAGGTTGTGGGGGAAAAGGGAACACTTCTGCATTGCTGGTGGGAATGCAAGCTGGTACAACCCCTTTAGATATCAGTATGATGATTTCTCAGAAAATTAGGAAACAACCTTCCTGAAGACCCAGCAATACCACTTTTGGGTATATATCCAAAGGATGCTCAATCATACCCACAAGGACATGTGCTCACCTATGTTCATAGCAGCATTGTTTGTCATAGCCAGAACTAGTAAACAACCTAAATGCCCCTCGACTGAAGAATCGATAAGGAAAATGTGGTCCATTTACACAATGGAGTACTACACAGTAGGAAAAAATAACGACATCTTGAAGTTTGTAGGAAAATGGATTGAGCTAGAAAACAACATTTTGAGTGAGGTAACCCAGATATAGAAAGACAATTATCACATGTACTCATTCATAGGTGGTTTTTAAACATAAAGCAAAGAAAATCAGCCTACAAATCACAATCCCAGAGAACCTAGACAACAATGAGGACCCTAAGAGAGACATACATAGATCTAATCTACATGGGAAGTAGAAAAAGACAAGATCTCCTGAGTAAACTGGGAGCATGGGGACCATGGGAGAGGGTTGAAGGGGAGGGGAGAGGCAGGGAAAGGAACAGAGAAAAATGTATAGCTCAATAAAAATCAATTAAAAAATATGCAGGGCTTCCTAGCTGCCTGCTCTGAGTGCCTGAGCAAAGCTGTCACAGCTTCCTACACAGTCAGGTTCATACCTACCTTTCCCTTTGTGTCAACAAACCCCTCTTCTCCTACCAAACCTAAAACAATCCAAAATTTAAGGATCAATAGTTTTACTTTTCCAGGATGACGTTCATCCTCTTCTAAATTCCTACTTTCCAGTTACTCAGTGTTTTGAGCTTTGTTTCAGCCACGTCTGGTCCCTTCATCCCCAGCAACACAGGAATTCCTCCAGATGTCAGTCTTGAATTCCCATCTTAGGGCACCATTCACTAATAATGTAGCATATAACAAGTGTCCTAGGAGAGACTAACCATCCTGTACTGTTACAAATATCCCCAAAACATTTCCAATTATTTTTAAGTGAGTTCAAATGTTTTACCAATTTTAACTATTATATATTTGCAAGTTCATCAATGCAGGCCTTGGAGAATTCTCATAAGCTTCTAATGCTTTGTATTTTAACATAGCCATTCTTCACTGTGGAGACTACCAAAAATAAGCACCTTATCACAATATAAACACCTTATCAAACACCCCAACAAGGTCTGAGAATACTAACTACCCCAATAACTAGATAGCTCAAGCTTGTACTTGTTTATCTGTAAGAGGCAGTTCAGAGTCTGACTCTCACAGCAGGAAAAAGAAGTACGTGGATTAGTAACTGAAAGGAAAAAGGGGCAGAGCTGAAAGCTGCAGTCATGGTTTAAGCATTGTTCAGTTCTAGATTCAACCTTCTGTGCAACCACTGGCAGATCCTCTGGCTATGGTGGCTTCTCTTTCTCTTTTAAGGTTTAGTTTAGCACTCCTATGTTCAGTGTAAAACAAAAATGAAATTATTAAACTACTGAAGAAAAATGCACTTATTTAAAACTGAAATTCTAGAAGCAGATATGAAAGGCAAAGAATTGATAAAGTATACCTAGTGCTCTTTATCTGAAGGCAAATCAAGTCCAAAGAAATCAGAAAAGTTACCTGAGAAAATCTTGAGGGCTGGGGTATGCCTAGTGATTGGATGCACAGGTTCCCCTAGCACCACACCCACAAATCAAATATACAAATAACATGTCCTGCACCTTAGTTCGCAATATTTATTTCTATCTCCCAGACATCAAAGATGCTTGCTCTTTTCTGTGCATGGGTGTTCTGCCTACATGCATGTCTGTATACTATGTGCATGTCTGGCACAGAGGCTCAGAGAGGATGTTGGGTGCCCCGGAACTGGAGCTACAGAAGGCCATGAACTACTATGCGAGTGCTGTGACTCAAACCTGCGCCCTTTAGAGGAGCAGCTAATGCTCTTAACTGCTAAGCCATCTCTGCAATCTCAAGATGTTACTCTAAAATGTAGAATTTAATTTTCCCTTTTATTCTTCAAATGAAATAAAATCATGAAATAGCAGGTTTTCCAAAGGCCCCCAATAACTGCATCTTACTGAGCCCTGTTATGAGGACTGTCAAGTGCACTTGAAAGGGCTGTGTGAGCTGGGTAGTGGTGGCGCACGCTTGTAATCTCAGCACTTGGGAGACAGAGACAGGTGATATTTCATTTGTATTTTAATAAATAAAGCTTGCCTGAAGATCAGAGAGTAAAACAGCCCCATCGATCAGCCTTACAGACCAGACAGTAGTGACACACACTTTTAATCCCAGTAGCCATACTAGTCTGCCACAGAAACGGGGTGGTGGTGGTACACACCATTAATCCCATTCCTAGAGAGGAATATAAAATGGGAAGGAGACAACTCTCAGACAAAGTCTTACTCAGAGATTCCTGGAGGCAGGATCACCATTTCAGACTGAGGTTGAGGTAAAAGTCAATGACTGGCTGTTTTGCTTTTCTGACCTTCAGGTTGAACCCCAATTTCTGTTTCTGAATTTTTATTAATCGTGCTATAGAGCTCTGTGAATCGGAGGCCAGCCTGGTCTACAGAGTGAGATCCAGGACATCTAGGGCTACACAGAGAAACCCTGTCTCAAAATACAAAAAACAAAACACTTGTGTGGTAAAGGACTGATCACCAGGTGGACCTAATCACTGAGAAGTAACTGGGTGATGAGGGCTGAACTAACCAATGTTGCATACAAATATAAACCAGAGCTTAAAGAATTATAAAAATATAGTCAAATGTGATATTACATAACTTTTGTACCAACCAGAACAGGCCATGTTCCCGAGCACAAAGGTTACAGCCACAGTAAAACTGCTTCAGGTAAACTAGCCAACCTGGGCAATGATGGCTTAAAACAAGTATCCTAAAAGTCAGGTGTAAAACACTTTCCTCTGCAAACTAGTTTAGCCTTTAATTCCACTTCCAAGTCTTGTTTCAAATAAATTTCAAGACTTTTCTGTGCCCTGAAAAATGATTTTTAAAATATCTTAACAAGGAATCCACAGAAAATGGGCTAATTCATTAGTAAACTGGTTCAAACGAGCTTAGCTACATGTTTAATGAAGAACATGAAAATAAACTCAACTGATGAAGTCACTTAATAAATAATCTTCGATTTAAAAACTAATCTGCTTTGTATGTTTCAAGAAACATACATCCTTTACTTCAGCATAGCGACAGTTTTAGGTATCAGCAGTAATATTCCGTGTTTAATAAATATTTAAAAAGGAGCTTTGGACCCCAACAATCATTTGAACCAAAGGCATTCTTGAATATGCATACCTCAAATCACCTGCTTCTTTTTTCCCTGGAAGTTGCATGTGGTTAAAGTCTGCTGGTGGGTGCTCTTCAGATACACTGGGCTCCTGGCTTATCTTGGAGACATCTGAAGCAAATGAGAGCTCCCCTTCACTGGTGATTCCGAAGAGCTCCGGGTCATCTTGAATTACATCAATTAAGAGGACATCATCTTCATATGCCTTAAGAATATCTGGAAACCCCAATCTGAGTTCTGAAATGCTTTTAGTCATTTTCCTACCACTCACTTCAGAAGGAATTGGCACAAATGCTTCTTGTTCCTTAGAGCAGAATGAACTTTGCTCAATATACCCAAGATCACAAGAAAAAGTATTATTTTCAAGTTTAAGAGACATAGACTCCTTGTTAGAAATAATATTGCCAGGTTCAGAGACATGATTATATGCTTTATTATCATAACATTTCTTTGCAAAGCCTGGAGAAGTGCAGGAATTCTTATTGTAGAACGAGTGAGAAATAGCTTGCCCTGGAGTTACGCTCTTCGGTATATTCAAAGACTGAGGTCCTGAAGTTGCTGCGCAGATATTTTCCTTATTTCTGCTTTGTTTTGCTTCTACTCCAGACAAACTGTCGAGTAGCTCTAGGGGACTGTAAGCAACTCTCTCACATGACCTGGCATGTACTTCTTTTCTTTTTCCTGTCTTGTTCTTTAGTAAAGGGATTTTAAAATTAGTCAGCCGTCCTGTGTTTAATATTTTAACCAAATCTGGAGTCACAAGTGTTTGCTTAGTAATGCAAGCTTTTCGATGAATAGCTTTGTTTGCAATGTTATTTGTTTCCTGGCTCTCTTGGGATGCCATTGTCAAATTAAGTTTTGATAAATTCCCTCTCTTTTTCTTATTTCCTGTTAAGCTTTGAGTTACATTAGTTAACTGGGTGTCTTCAGCAGCATTAGAAACTACCTCTATCCCATTTCTGGGTTCCTCTATCTTTTTATCACTGGGTACAGCTTCCTTTACAACCATCAAAGTAGGTTCTACTGAAGACAAACAGTTTAAATCAGAATCATACATTTCTTTACTTGAGGACTCAATGGTTCTTTCTGTTAAGGGTTGCTGTAACAGCTTGGAGTCAGTTAAGCGACTTTGATTTGTTTGGTGTATGATAGACTCATGTTGCCTACCATTTTCCAGAGACCCTGGAAGTGAGAAATTGAAACCTGACAGGGGAGTCTTTTTCCAACACTGGGCTGTTATTCTAGCACAAGAATAAAAAGGCCAAGTCCTTTTACCGGTCATTGGTGTAACTCTGCGACAGCTCACCTTTGACTCGTCACTCTCATTTCTCAAATCTCCCCACGGGTATCTTTTCCCCATACGATGACTATCACTGGCTGATCTTGCCGAAGAGCTTATCACTGATTTAAAATATTCTTCTGGATCCATACTTTTGCATCCCAAGAACTCTGAAGTAATTTTTATATCCTCTTTCAAACGTGATTCAAGGGCTTTCTGAAACACAGCATTCACTTGATGTCTGGGACTTGTTTTCTCTACTGTTTCTGGGAGACATAAATGGTCCACTGGAGAGAGCGTATTATGGTTTATTTTTCTTAGAGCTTTTAGGAAACTCTTTTTAGGCTCAAAGGTCTCTGTTTCTTTCCCTTCCACACCCATTGGGTTTTCTTGTAACACCAACTCTGAATTGTTATACACATTAGAGAAATTAAGATCAATAATTTTTTCTTCTTTTTCAGACAATTTCATCTTTTTTCTGTGTTTTCTCCCAGCACTGCTCTCCTCTACCAAATATTTGTTTTTTTCACTTTGAAGACAAGAAATCAAGCCATTGTTTTTATTTTGGTATGAACGACTTTCTCCAAGCAGTAATTTACTGCCTGTTACATTTCCTTCCGTTTTTGACAGTTTATCAGTCTTCTCTGCGGGATGCCTAAGGTTTTCTCTCTTTAACTTCGAAGTGTTCTCTGCTATGTGCACCCATACACCTTGAGGTTCATGCTCAAAGTTGTTTTCATTATCAAAACCCTCAGAATGGAGGAAACAGTGATCAGGTGATTCGAAACTGCAACATTTTTCTACTCCAGGTGACAAGCTGTTACAAGAGTATTTCGGAGTATTCTTGTACAGTTCATCTTGGAATTCAACCTTAATATTTTGTATTGCCTCGTCCTTAGTTATTTTGAGAGACGGATTTTCTAAACTTTTACATTTCTTAATTCGAATCCTTCTTTTAATATCGTCTACCAAATCTTCCTTAGCCAAAGACTGTAACAAAGCCATAGTCTGAAATTCACTGCACTCCACTGTTTGTAATGACTCCGAACTGGTTAATGACGCCTTTCTTACCAGGTCAGTCCCTGGCTGTGGATCATCACTTGGGGCTTCAGTAACTTTTCCTTTCTCTTTGGCTGATCAAAAAAAAAAAAAAAAAAAAAAAAAAGAAAAACATACCAGAAGACATTTTATACCGGGCAGAAAAAAAGCAACACCAGTTAACAGAAAATCTGTGAAGCCATCCATTTGTATTTCCCTGAAGAGCTGTTAAGAAGCACAAACTGATTTTAACATTAAAAATTAAAAAAAAATCAAACAGGTTTCATTGCATAGCCCAGGCTGACCCCAAATTTGAGATTCTCCTGCTTCAGCCTCCCATCTTCGGGATTATGGGTGTGCATCACTTCGGCCATCTTTAAGGTCTAATTAAGAACTACAACTAAACCTCTATAAATTCTAAAACGGCAGAAAAACCTTTATAACATCATTTTACCCTAGTTAAGTTAAACCACTGGTATTAATTCTTTCTACAGCCATTACAATGACGGGCTCCTAAATGAACGTATACTTTTATAGGAAAATCCTTCCCACCCTGCCTCTTATCCATCCCGCGCGCACTGGTTGGGACCACACAAACTCAACTAAAGGCTAGCCATAAACAAAGACGGAGGACAGCTGAGGTGTGGCCCCCAGTTCTCTTACTGTGTCTTCTGGGGTGAAAAGGGAGCTCCACCTCCTTTGTTGCTCCTCTGCAAGGAAGGCCCACCGGGTCCCCGGCCCCTCCGCTCACTGCCTTCCAGGCGGCGGATGTCTCACCCAACTTGTCACCTTCTGTCTCCTTTCTCCCGGGAGCCTGGGCCACCACTCTCCTCTTCTGCCTGTTCTCCTCCTCGCGCCCCCTGGCCTCAAGGCTGCAGCCTCCCACCTCGTCCGGCTCTGGCGTCAGCGGGAGGCTTCGCTTCCTCAGGCCTTGGGCGTCGCCTTCGCGCCCTGGGGCCGTGGTGGGGCCTGAGGGCGGCGTTGGTGGCCGCATTTGCCCACCGCCGCTCGTCCAGCCGCTCTCGGGAGCCTAGAAGGCCCCCAGGTCTGCGACCGCTGCTTCCACGGCGGGATACAGCCCACCGCCCGCCCAGGGCCTGGCCTGGCTGCGCACTGCACCGCACCGCACCGCACCGCACCGCACCGCCTACCGACTCGGCAGGAAGCGGAAGTGGAGCGGGCTGGGCTCGGCTGGAGGCAACCGGCTCGGTGCCTCGCGGTCCGCCTGGCCACATGCTCCGTCGAAGGGCCCTCGCTGCAGCTGGCGGTGACACGGCCTCATTGCACGGGCGGGTTTGTGGATGTCACCCCGGTGGTCCTCCCTCTCCTTCCTCCAGACCTGAACGTCCAGAGGTACCTGGGCGCCTTCTCCCAGCCACCCCGACCAACCTAACCGTAGGCTACCTAAATGACTTCTAACTACTCCCTCAGTCTCCTGGGAGGCCACTGCCGCTTTCTTCCTAACACCTTCACTTCCATACAGGTGGCCCAGGCCCCCCACCCCAGCTTCAGACATGCAAAATACCATTTATTTCCCAAAAAAATCGCTTCTCTTTTGTTGGTGGCGAGAAACTTCTAAATGCTTTCTTGGATCCCTTGCACATAAATTTGCCAAATCTAATCGATTCTATTTTCTGTGTTTGTTACTTCTCCTTCCCTCCCTTTGCCGTTACTGTCTCTCTGGCCCGCAGACTTTGACCTACAACGTCATACTTCTAAATTTTATTGATGTCTCCATCCCTGCACCAGTTCAGCCGAACCTGACCAGCTTGCCAGACCATGCCTCTCCGTTGAAGGAGAACGCTCGCGCCCCCCCCCCCCCCCACGCACCTTGACCCTTCATGAGCTTCCTTCGCTTAAAGATTAGAACAGAGTTTAAACTCCTTGTGTGCTTTTTGGATCCTGTCTGATGTGCCTGTCTGTGATTGTTTGGTCAGTTATTATCTTACTGCCCTGGTGTCTTTACTGTCCTTCAGTGGAAAACTACGCCAAACAGGCACACTTCCAATTGTTGCTGATTCATTGAGTTTTCTTGTTTTGCTGGGCCAGGCTGACCTGGAACTTACTATGCAGACCAGGCTGATGTGGAATGGACATACTAGCTCAGACTGACTTTGAACTTGGTAAGTGTTCTGCCTGACTCCCAGCTACTAGAACTACAGGCCTGAGCCACCACAAGGAATTAATGGGAACTTTCTTTCTTTTTCATTTTTCTTTTTTCTTTTTCTTTTCCTTCCTTCCTTACCTTCCTTCCTTCCTTCCTTCCTTTTTTGGACAGGGTTTCTTTGTGTAGCCTTGGCTGCCCTGGAACTGTAGATCAGACTGGTCTCAAACTCACAGACATCTGCCTGCCTCTGCCTCCCAAGTGCTAGTTTAAAGGTGTGTGCCACCATTTCCTGGCTTGTTTTCCTTTTTAAACAGCTATATAAGTGATAAGTGACAGACACTCAAAATAGTAGTCTATGCACATGTGCATTCTTTCTAATAGCTTATTCAATTTTCCATTGTATTGCAAAGAAATCAATTTCTACTTATACTTAAATTGTTCCTATAACCATTTCAATAATCCTGATCCATAAATGTGTTTGTTCTTTATTCTTAAGCTGTGAACTAGTAGTTATAAAATGTACTTGATGAGAGAAATAAACTCTTTAACACAATTTTCATGTCTCTATGTGAGACATGCCTTTTAAAATAAATTAACACCACACATGGCTTTCATTTATGCCACCTTGAGCTCCTCCTGGAATTCCCCAGATCACATGGACTCTGCCTGTGCCTATCTATACCCTTATTCTTAAAATTACTTCTTTGCTTGTGTGCCTGGAAAACTACAATGCATCTCCCAGAAAAGCTTTCTGTTGCTTTTTGTCTTTACATTTGGAGGGTTCAGAAGTCCCCTTCTGCATATTAACACACCATTTTTCTTTTTATTATTGTACGTGTGTGGATGTTTTGTCTGCATGTATGTCTCTGTACCAGGTGGTGGTCTGAATATGGGTGGCCCCCGACAGGCTCATATATTTGAATGTTTAGTTATCAGAAAGTGGTACTACTTGAAAAGAATCAGGAGGTGTGGTAGTGCTGTTACAGTAGATGTGGCCTTGTTGGAAGAAGTGTGTCACTGGGGATGGGTTTTGGGGGGTCTCAGAAACCTATGTCCAGAGTCTCTCTCTTTCTTCCAGGTGCCTACAGATCCAGATGTAGTCTCAGCTACTTCTCCAGAACCGTGTCTCCATGCCACCATGCTCCCTACCATGATGACAATGGACTAAATCTCTACCACTGTAAGTAAGCCCCAATTAGAGGTTTTACTTTATAAGAGTTGCTGTGGTCATGGTGTTCCTTCAAAGCAATAGAACACTGACGAAGACATGTGCATTCCTGGTACCCATGGAGGCCAGAATAATCTGTGACCCAACATACAGGTGGGAATTTTTTTTTTCAAGACAGGGTTTCACTGTCACTTTCTAGCCTGTCCTGGAACTTGCTGTTGTAGACCAGGCTGGCCTCGAACTCACAGAGATCCTCCTGCCTCTGCCTCCACCACCTGGCAACCTTAACAATGGTCTCATACAGGAAGCATTCAGTATCCGAACTCCTGGAATTGGGAGAAGTCTTTTGAATCAGTGAACGAGCCGGTCACAGTGTGGTTTGTGAGAGTGTGGGACATAGGAGTTAATAGGATCAGTCTGACTGCTGTGGAGGCAGAGAAACTGAGTAAGGTGTCTGTCCATTCCTCCTTAAGGCAAGGGCTGCATGAGCATAAGACAGTGTGAGAGACATGAGCCCCTGATGGATTGGTTTATCAGAGGAATTATTAGGAATAATTTTTAATCTCCTTCTGAGGTCCCCATAAATATCAAGGGCTGGGGACAGGGGACAGGTGCTATCGAGGGAATTAGGAATTAGAAAAGCTGTGTTTGAATTCCAAACTGGGCCCGATAGAACTATGTTCACAGAGGAGTTAAAGAAAAGAGATTCATCAAGGACCTCAAGGCAGGGTTGGAGCTTTAGCAGCTTTGCTGGGTTCTTTTTTGAGGGGGTGAGATCTTTATAAAGCAGAAGATGCTGTGGCAGACCCAAGTGACTTAGACCAGAATTTTTAGAGTGTCTGTAAAGCGAGAGAAAATTGAAGCAGAGCAGAGGAAGAGGTCTGTTTGGATTACGTGAAGACTTGAGTCGAGCTAGAGATCTATGGGAAAAAATGATAGAAAGCCAGACTGTGCTTTCTGTCTAAGGAGCCTCTGGAGGGCTTCAGGCTGAGGAGTTCACAGAAGACTTCATGATAGAACAATGCAGGTGCAGATGATCAAGATTATCAGGGTGGGCAATTATTCCCCCAGACTAAGAAGATTACATTTTGCTCTAGGAAAAGATTACGCTGGGGCGGAGTTTGTTTGTCCAGCCAGGAACTCTCCCAATAACCAGGCGTGGTAAACGGGGAGCCACTGTGCCAACCTGGGGCCTCTCTGACCCAGGAAGCCAGCAATTGCAGCAGGGGTGAGCAGGACCACTTTCTCCCTTAGCCCTAGGAGGTAGAGTTGATCAGATTAATGAGTTAATCAGGGGTGAAGTGTCACCATGGAAGAGCTCCTCAGTATGAAAATGTAAAGACTCAGAGAGGATGACTGGGATCGCAGAGAACTAATGAAGTTACAGGCTCCCAGCCTTGCTTTCCTACGGACCTTGATTGGTGGAGGAAGTGAAGTGACTGACACACGCGGTTGGAACCTTTCCAGGCTGTATTTAGAAACCTTGCTTGTGTTCCACTCCGGTCTCTTCTTAGCTGTGAACGTCCGGGATTACCTGACACTTGCTCACAACAGATTCACCGAGGTTATCTTTGCAATCTCACTATCTGTTATGAGATTATAGTTCAGGACGTTACATTGCCTGCTCATCCTCTGTAAAAGGTTTTGTTAAATAGATAGCATAGTGCTAACCTCTGAATGTTTTGAAGATTGGAAAGCCATTGGAGAGGCAGGGGAGTGCTGGGGAGGTATAAGTTCACAAATAAGCAAGGGTAGAAACAGATGCTACCAAAAGCCGTAAAGTTGTTGACTGAGATTCCCACTACCAGGTGTCCGTTACCTTTCTAGGGGGTGCTGATAAAGGAGCCACGTGAACAGGGAGGAGGAATCCAGGTTCACTTTGGTTTATCCTGAGCTCATCATCTGGGGTGAGTAGATGTATGTGTTATGTCTCCCCAGGAGAAGTCTGTCACACAACATATATATAATTGAAAATTATTAAAATGTAATTAAAAACATAAAAATATTTAAAATTATATAAACATTTAAAAAGCTGAAGGAATACTAGTCCACTCAAGCATACAGTTCTGGAAGCCTTTGCCCTTCTCCCCAATTCCCTCTGCCTTGTTAAAAACCATTAGATTACATACCTAAAGCTAGCCGCTAAGGTCTTTCCCCTTAGTTGGCCATTTTCTCCTCCTGAGGCTGACTATCAAGTCCCAGCTATCAAAGTATGAAAGTCCAGGAATTAGAAGCTGCCTTTAATTCACCTAGTTAACATGCCCAATCAAAATGTACGACATCCTAGCCCTAGCCCGTTCTAACACAGACTTCCCTTTTGTTCTTAAAAATTACACCTGCAAGGTCATTCGCTGCTGTTTTTCCGCCCAAGTCAGAAAGCAACCAGTTCAACTTTAATAAAGGAGCTGTCCTGAAGACAGGTGTTTGGGTGTGGCTTGTGACTAGTCTGGGGTCCGGGAGGGAAACCCCCCACAGCCAGCCCCGTGCCGGGATCTCCTCCAAAATCTGTATGAAAACAAGGACGATGGTAAAGATTAATGGCTTTCTAGTTCTTTATGACGTTCTCTTGGGACCTGAACTTTTAAAAAAGACTTCTTTCTTTTATAAAAGAATTTTGTTGTACTTTTGATTATTGTCTGACCTTCACTTGTGACAGTGGCATGCACCTGCCCATACATGTGCACTTATACATATACATACAAGTAGATAAATAGTAATTTTTAAAAAAAGTCTTTAGGCCTCTCTAAACCTACGACTTGCTGCCTTTCTCTCTCTTTTTCTGTTGCTGCAATATGAAGATAGGTAGTTATTTACTCTATAAAGTTTTCCACAGACTGGATTTGAGTGATTGGGTTACTTTGAGGTAATTTGTCATTTTGAGGCAGGGTCTCACCATGTGGCCTTGGCTGGCCTGGAATTGACTTTGTAAACCTGAGTGGCCTCAAACTCACAGAGACCCGCCTGCCTCTGTCTCCCAAGTGCTGGAATTAAAGGCATGTGCCACCACCACCTAACTTGAGGTAATTTAATTCTGTGATCTGAACTTATAGAAACTTGAACTTTGTGTTCTTTTTTTCCCAAGATGTTATAGGTGGCAATGCATTTTTTTGTTTTCTTTTGAAATATTATTTTAAGTGTTGGAAAATATTATTTTAAGGTGTGTGTGTTACTTTTGTTTATGCTACATTTGTTTAACTTGTGAAGAACCTGTGATTCTTTGCCTGTCTAAAACACCCAATGGTCTGATAAAGAGTTGAACGATCAATAGCAAGGCAGGAACAAGGATAAGTGGGGCTGGCAGGCAGAGAGGATTAACAGAAGGAGAAATGAGGAAGAGATGGAGTAATGAGAAAACAAGGGGAGGAGAACACCAGGGGCCAATCACCCAGCCACCCAGCCACCCAGCCAGACACAGAGTAAGAGTGAAAGTAAGAGTTACAGAAGTAAGAAAAGGAAAAAAACCCAGAGACAAAAAAAGTAGTTGGGATAATTTAAGTTAAGAAAAGTGGACAAGAAACAAGTGAAGCTAAGTCAGGCATTCATAAGTAAGAATAAGCTTCCATTTGTGATTTATTTGGAATCTGGGTGCTGTGGGATAATGCTCTTGTACCCTGTAAAAATTTGTCAGTCATATTAGTTTACTAAAATGCTGATTGGCCAGTAGTCAGGCAGGAAGTATAGGCGAGGGAGTGGGTGAGCAGGGGGTAGACACCAGACTAGAATAATTCTGGGAAGAGGAAAGGCTCAGTCTGCAATCAGCACCCAGACACAGAGGAAGCAAGGAAGCAAGGAAGAGATAGTTAATAATAAGCCTGAGCTATAGGCCAAACAGTTTATAATTAATAAAAGCAGAAACTTCCATCTACAGCTGGGTGGTGGGCCCTCTCAAAAAGTCGAAAGAGTAAAACATCACACACCACCCAAGGGGAGACACATGCCCCTAGCCTTCTCTCCTGTGATTTAATGGTGGTAATAATCAAAGCTATGTGTATTAATTAAGGTCATACTCAGAGCTATGTGTGTTAATTCAGGTCATACTCAGTTCTGTGGGTATTTATTTGTAGTCCCCATGTTACCCTTTCCTTAAAAAGTTAAAATAAAAGTAAACTGAGTACACAGAGAAAGCATGGTGGTCACGTGACACCTGCCTCTGTCCTATCAAAACTGTCAACATTCCCCACCTTGTTTCTCGTACTAGGAAGATGTGAACAAGCTATACTTAGAGTCATAAAAATGAGACTCAGATGTTTTGAGAAATACAGAAACGTTCCACATATTGAAACATGCAAGCATTATCTCCTGACAAGCCAAGCAGCACTTTCTCACTACAAGACACTGGAACACATGGGCGTAAGAAGCAGAACACAAGTAAGAAATTGTGGAAAAGAGACAAAGAAGGCGCAGAATTAGTTTCCGGTGCGCATCATTGGTGCTGATGTAAGTTTTTCACATCATTATCGCGCCAATTAGCCTAAGTTAACACCAGCATCCTGCTTCTAAACACGAACTGCAGTCTCTTTGGTTCTGCTTTGACCTTCCCAAACAACTGTCTCTCTAAAACCTCAGCCGCTCCAGGTGGAACGTGATACGCCTCTGAAGTTTGGTCTGATGGACTCATAAGGGGATAACATTGCAACCTGTTGCTTCAGAGAACTAAGTCTTTGTTGAGTTGGAGTTACCTGCACCTTAGTTTGCTTTGTATTGTTTTGATAAAGAACATGACTAAAAGCAACTTGGGAAGGAAAGGGTTTATTTGGCTTACAATTTACAGTTCATCATGAAGGGACATCAGGGCAGGAGCTCAAGGCAGGAACTGAAGCAAAAGCCATGGAGGAGTGCTGTTTACTTGTGTACTTCTCTTGGCTTGCACAGCCTGCTCCCTTATATCACCCAGGACCATCTACCCTGGGATGGCTCTGTTTCTCGTGAGCTGAGCCCTCCTACATCAATCCTTAATCAAGAAAATGCCCTACAAATTATCAATAGGTGATGTATGATTAATAAAGGCTCAGAGACAGATATTGGGGTTCAGCCTGAAGATCTAAAAAGCAAAGCATCCAGCCACTGGCTCTTACCTCAGCCTCAGTCCAAAAATGTTTTTCTGCCTCCAGGAATCTCAGAATGAGACTGTGTGTGAGAGCTCTCTCCTTCCATTTTATAATCCTCTCTAGGGCTGGGATTAAAGGTGTGCACCACTGGGATTAAAGACATGTACTGCCCGGTTTCTATGGCAACTAGTGTGGCTACTGGGATTAAAGGTGTGTGTCACCACTGCCTGGTCTGTAAGACTGACCAGTAGGGCTGTTTTACTCTCTGATCTAAGTAAGCTTTATTTATTAAAATACAAGTGAAATGCCGCTACAAATGGGTAATCCAATAGAGACATCTTTTCAACTGAGATTCTTCTTCCCTGGTGACTCTAGCTGGTGTCAAATTGACAAAAACTAGCCAAGATGCCTACCTAACGTATTAAGAAACCAGTGCATCCTGGAAATAAGGTGGTTTTTGTAGGCACTAAACATTTGTAAGATTTTTTTTCCATTACTACTTAAGTAACTGTCTTTCCGTATGCACAATATTTCCACATGGAGAATTTGCTAGGAGTACTCAAGCAGACCTCTTGAGCCAGTTGGCACACTGGAGCATCAAGTAGTACCTAATGCACTGTGAAAACCCAGAGACAGTAGCATCAGGTAGTACCTAGTGCACTGTGCAAACCCAGAGACAGTAGCATCAGGTAGTACCTAGTGCACTGTGCAAACCCAGAGACAGTAGCATCAGGCAGTACCTAATGCACTGTGAAAACCCAGAGACAGTAGCATCAAGTAGTACTTAGTGCACTGTGCAAACCCAGAGACAGTAGGTTCCTGTGGGTGAGAAGTACGGCGTCTAATTGCAGCCGACTTCCTCTAATGTGGAAGCTCCAATGCCAGGCTTTCCATCTTCTCCTTTACTGTAGATTGACTTGTATATTTTTGTTTGTTTGTTGGCTGAGGTGATCTTCACAGCTGGAGTAAGAAGGATCTCAGAGCTCACCACGTGCTTCTAGGAATCTGCTGGACGTAGTTCTTGAATCTTTGCGCTGTTATCTGAAGTATTTGCTTAGTTAGTACTCAGACAGGTTGGAACCATCAGAATCTTTCTCTTCCCTTCCGTGCATCCTTCTATCTGAGAACAGTGTTTCTCTAAAGTAATGTCATCAACACATACTTTTGCAAATGAGCAGTTTACTAAAGTTCTTAAAATGAGATGCTAACTGATTACTGTCAAACATACAATAGAATCCATTTTTTATTCATTGCTTTAAACAATTTTCCTTTAAGTGTGTGCAAATATGCATTCACATGTAAGCATGCAGGTGCTCCTACCTGAATATGGTTTGAAGACAGTCTTCAATGTGAGTCTTCATTTTCCACTAAGTTTGAGACAGGTTCTCTTTTGTTGTTGTTCTGTATAGGTTACTGAGATGACAAATATCGCGTGTGTGAGGCTTTTATGTGGGTCTAGGGATTTGAACTCAGGTCCTCATGCTTGCTCAGTGAGTACTTTTACCCACCGAGCCCCCTCCCCAGACTTACATTCATTGCTTATTTCTTTACCACAGAGACACTACAGTCAAGGTTCCTAGACACTTGTCTAGCAAGAAACAGGCTTAAAATCCTTAATTATTCGTTACCTTGATTCTTCTCTCTCTTTTGTTTTGTTTGTTTCTGAAATTCAGTCCCATTATGTAGCTCAGATGACTGCATCTTTCTAAGTCTAAACTGGCCTTGAACACACAGGCCCTCTTCAGCCTTACAAGTGTTGGGTCATAGATGTGGGTGACCATACCTGACTTTATGCTCCCCCTCAACCTCTCAAGTGCTCAGTCAGAAGTGCGAATGACCACACTTGACTTCTTCTTTTA